TACTGTCGCCGTGGACTCTCGAGATCACCAAGTGTGTCAAGGGTGAAGATGAGATCCTGGGAGCATTGGCGGCGAGTATTACGTCTAGATCCCAGGTGGATGAGACGTTGATCTCAATTTCCCCTAAAAAGGAGCCAAGGCGCAAGATCCAGGCTCCGATCCCACTATTGGACGGTGAGGATCTATACGCTGTTAGTTTCGATGGATCTACTCGTGTCAAGAGAGGTGGAGGCGCCTACAGCGCGATCTTGTGGAAATTGCCTGAATGGAGAGTGTTAAAGGCTAGATCTGGCTACGCTGAAGGGCGAACAGTGAACGAAGCAGAATATCATGGGTTGCTGTAATGTTATGTTTGGATCTGTTGGAAGATCTGGATCCACGACGTCTAGTGGTCTGCGGGGACTCTAACCTGGTGATCCGACAAGAATGAGGTGAGATCGATTGTATGACACCGGATTTGATACTGCTACGCCAGCGGGCTCTAGATCGACTACGTACGTGGACGGATCACGAGCTGTTGTATGATAAGCGATATTGGAATGGGAGTGCTGATAGCTTAGCAAGTGCTGCTCTGCAACGACAATGTGGGATCGAGGTCGAGTCTGAAAAGGAGATCCAGGATCTAGTGACCCTGAACCGGTTGGATGAAATCCTGGTAGTGAAGATCGAAGACGAGGTCGCCCAGATATCGGCTGTAATGACCCGATCTAAAGCTAGATCTGGCGTGCGCCTTGGGTCTGATCCAAATTCACTGCGTGAGGAAGTTGTGCGATAACTGCGGATCGAGCGGATCCAGCAAGCACAAGATGAGGACCTGTGGATCTCAGGACTGAAAAAGTATTTGGTTGGAGAGATTCGGGATCTGACACGAGAGGACGCTAAGATGTTTGAATCTATCGCCATGAACTATAAAGTGGACCAGTCGGATCTACTCTTCTACTGCCCGACAACTAAGGAATTCGCTGCAGATCGAGATAAGCTGATGCGATTGGCGGTGCCTGAGACGCTTCAACAAGATATTTTGCATCACTATCGCACGAGTCTGCAGGGTGGTCATCAAGGAATCGGTCGTACTTATGATCGGATCCGCGATCTTTCCACTGGAGAGGGTTGTATAAGGCGTACAGCGGTATGTGGGAGAATGTGTTGATTGTGAAACAGGCAAAGGACGAGGGTGAGTTACCTGGTAACCTTCAGGCAACATACCCATTTCAGATGATTGCCATGGATCACATTCCTTCGCTGCATAGATCTTTCAATGGCAACACAGAGCTGTTGATCTTCGTCGATCTATTCTCTGGATATGTGATCACTAAGGCCAGCGCCTCTAGATCTGCACAAACAATCGCTGAGACGTACGAGGAATGCGTTTTCCGCAGATTTGGCGCGAGCGAGGTGATCCGGCATGATCGAGAGCCAGGTTTCATGTCCGACTTCTTCAAGTCCTTCAACAAGATCTTGGGTCGACGCCAACGGGCTACTATGGCTAATCAAATCCAAGCTAATGGATCTGCAGACCGTATGATCCAGACAACCACCAGAGCTCTTAAGATGTATGTGCAGGATCTGGATCGACGTGATTGATGGTTGGGATCCTAGATCTACTCTGGAAGCGGTGATCCCGGTGGGGAGCACTCGCAGGCACGATCGAGATCCGAAAAGGTGGCGATATCGGATGCAAAAATATTATCAACAGGCTCGAGAACAAGTGAACCAACGTTTACGCGAAGCAATTACGGATCGAGCCGACAGGCACATAATACTCTGGTACGTCCACATCCTGTGGAGGCTGGATCAAGAGTGTGGTTGTACGTGGAGTGGGCGCGTGAAGGATATGCTAAGAAACTGGCGCACTTGTGGCATGGGCCATTTCGTGTCGCTGAGAAGATTGGAGAATACGCAGCGAGGTTGGAGATTGCAGGATCCGCGTATAGCATCTTCCCGGTGGTACACGTGTCGAAGGTCAAACCAGTCAGGATCTTTCCTGACCGACCTATAGCTCGCCTAGAGGAGTCAGATGCAGATCGGGTTAACTTCGATGAAGCTCTCCTACCCGAAGACAGTTGGATCCAAGACCCAGATCAATACGAAGTGGATCGGATTTCCGATATGATAACTGGCAAAAGGACGAGATATGGACGGATCTATCGAGACGTTTTGGTGCATTGGCGTGAATATGAAGATCCGACTTGGGTAGATGAAGCAGATCTCAACTGTGGTGCCTTGCTGTATGAGTTCCTGTGAGACTGTACCAACCGTAACCGGTTTGGTGTAATGCAGTCTCATGAAGAGTCGTGAGATCTGGGTCCACACTGACGAGCTGGTCATTGGTGTGACTGAAGGTTGATGGATCTGCAAGGATGTTGCAGATCAAAGGACAGGATGTACATCACATTGTATATGACAAGGTGCCGATCGAAGATCCATGTGGGATAAGTTGAATCCATAGGTGGATGTAGGGGTGAGCGAAAGTGAAGTCCGAGTGTGGATCTAGAGCTATAGTGTCTGGGAAATTATGGAGCAATGGACGAATGACAAACATCGCGGTGTTGGAATTTGCGACGAGTGACGAATAAGGAAACGTATCTGCAGTGGTCATGTTGGGCAGCAACGACTACAGACAGGAGGCGATTGTGGTTAAGTGGATTCCGGGAAATTACGGACATGAAGTGATCAGGTCAAGTGGAGTGACGGGTATGCCTGGATCTGCGGTGACTACC